TTGTGATGGGATAGAAATTTGTATGATCTGTTTGCCAGCATTTGATAAAGCTTTGTTTACTCACAAGAAAGCCAAAGTAGTTTGGATTCCCCCTTTCAGCAGATAATCCCCTCTGAGGTGTTTTACAGTAAATAAACTGCGGGGCTGGGACAGGACACTTCATCCCCCTCTTCTGGGACACTGCCCTGCTCATGGCTAAAAAGGGAGTCATTGTCACCACTGAATCACTGGGTGTTCCTACTTCATTCCTTATTTTCCTTTCACTTCATCATCAAAGTGAGATTTGTTTTTACTGCAGACTGCCTTTCCCTTGACGGGACTGATCTCCTTTCAAAAGTAATCCAGAGGCCAATAACAAATGTTATGGATGCCTCATCCATCGCTGTCACCCCATGGCAGGCACAGAGAGACAAATGTCCCTTTCAGAAGGGCCCAGCTGATGTTCCCCAGCACACACTGCTCATTTCAGTGTTCTCAGGAGGAGCAAATGCTGAGAAGGTCTTGGCACACAGAGGCAGAAGCTGCTTATCTGTGCTCAAATAGGACTTACAGGCTGATATTTGAGGTTATTATCCTAGAGAGGATCTTTGGGATCATCCAGCCTCGTCCAGTGCTGCTGCTCAGAGGTTCAGGGGGTTTGTTGTAGGTTTTTTAAAATGTTACATGCCAGCAAAATTCAGCACAGCAAAGTGAGCCCTGTGCAGTCATCTCTGACTGGAGCCAAGTTAACCCAGCACAGAAAACTTCTGAAACTCAGCTTGAGGAGCTGTCAGGAGCCCCTTGAGCAGCTCTGGGGTGTTTAACAGTGATGCTCTGTTCCAGCAGCCCGAGTGCTCCCAGCAAGGAGAGCAAGGAGAGCTTCATCTGCTGGCACATCTTAGTCACATACTGTAATCTGCTGAAACAACACCTCAGCAGCTCTAGATCTGCACCTCGGGGAATAAATTAGGAGTGCATTTCATCTTCACTCTCCACTGCCTTGTTTTTGTGACTGTAAAACGCCCTGGCTGCTGGAGCTGAGCGCTGGGTGGATGTGGTCGGGTGTGTAATGCGCTGAGGAGGGACACAGCGAGCTCCGTGTGCTCTTTCCGTGAGGGTGAAGATGTTGTCATGCTCCAGCCTCTTCCTCAGAAACTGATCCAAGGAAATGCTTCATGGGGGTGAAGTAGGAGCTCCTGGAAAATAAAGGGAATTTGTGTTATTATTGTTTTTAATTGGGCCGTAGTCATTCAGTCCATTTCTCATCCCTGTTGCCTGGAAGTGGAGCAGAGTTTCAGACATCAGCAACAGATTTTAATTTAAACTTTTTGCCAACTTTATGTTTTCTTATGCAATTTACTTTTTAAAATGAAGAGCACATGTTTTCCTTCCAAATAACACGCAGTACATTTATTGGCATTTTAAATAGGCCAAAGTGAGTGACCAACCTTCTTCTTTTTCTTTCAAGTCTATTTTTTCCCTGCAGGCAAATTGCTGTGGGCTTATGACCCACCCTTTTTATGACACTATTTCAGCACAGATATTCTTAGTTAGAATTCTAAGTTATTTCTTTGAAACAGAAATAGAAATCACCACCTTGGCCAGCAGTTTCTTCATCTAAGGGACATACAAATATGTCATCTAAACCTTTATGAAATCTCTGTCACACAGTTTATGTATTTTTGTTCCATTTGGGAAACTGTGTGAGCTGGTGTTGTCCTTCTGTTTGTTGTCCTGTATGTGAACTAATGGTCATTTTACCAAATGCTCCCTTGTTTGGGGCATGGTCCTGTGGCATGGCCATCCTGGGAATTGCTGCAAACTTCTGCATCCTTTCTAAAATAGATACAGATCTCTCTTATTTCATGTGCTCATACCCACACCACCAAAATAGAGACTACAACACTTCAATCCAGAAAAGGCAGCAAGTGGCAGTAACATTTTGGCTCTGTTACATACTGTCAGCCTTTATTTCTTATGTTTAATCCTCGTTTAGCACAATAATAATTTGCTTAGATGGGCAGTTTAAGGTGGTTTTTTCTCACAGCAGCTTTTGTACTTGAGCAGTTGTTTGGACCATGCAAACCATTTGGTTCCCAAACAGAGATTTGGGCAGCCAGAGGAGACTTTGAGAAGCCAAGACTGAGAAAGAGGACTCAGTGTTAGAAAGAAACCTTCCTGCCTTTGGATCTCCAGCCTGAGAAGTGAGATTTTGTAACTGCAGCTTTTCTTTTCCCACAGAATCATTAAGAAAAGACAGTTGCTCATAAGTTTTGTATTTCATGGATTTTTTGCAACTGAGAATTAAGTCATCTTGGGGCTTTTTTTATTTTTCCCCCTAATTTGCCTACATTTAAGTCTAATAATAGTTTATTAAACCTGGCATGTGGAATAGCAGAGTGCTGGAAAGTTTGGGATTCATTTCCTGCAGCAGTGGGTAGATATCCGTGTCACACAAAGTTGTCTCAGGCGCTGAGTTGGGCGTAAGCTGCTTCTGCCACTGACTTTGTTTATGGGAAAAACTAATCTGGCTGTGAGAACTGGACTTATTTGAAAGTAATTGACAAGAACTGTGTCTGTGATCCCCAATATAAGCTTTTTCCAGTCACTTTGGAGAGATTAGATGTCTCTTAACATCATCTTACTCGCGGTGAAGTTGCTCCAAAGGGACTCCTTTAATCATATTAGTTTCGCTGCCATCACCCCGTCTTCAGAGTCTTTCTTCTTCCCTAATAGAACCAAATCTGCTTTTGCCATCTATTAGGTCCAACATTAATACTCCTTTGCATATTAATTGCTGTTGCTTTACCTATAACATTCAGCTCACTCTCAGCTGTCCCCACTTTTGGATCCGAAGGCTGGGAGCTGTTACTTTTTCCTTACAGAAAACACTGGATTGTGTTTCATTTTCTAATGACTTTGTATAAGAACCATTGAACAAAGAAGGAAGTAAAGCTTAAAAAGTGTAACAGGAATTCACCCAGTCTTTATTTTGGCTTATAGTATCATTTGTGAATGAATTTTTGTTGTGTTATAAAAAGTTAGCCCTGATTTCTTATCCTAAATATTTTAACAAACTTTTTAGGGAACTTCTGAGCAATGTCATTTCTTAGTTTCACTTATGTGTGTGTGTTGGGGGTGTAATTGAAATAAGGGTTTTTTTAAAAACAGAAATGAGGGAAAAAAAAGAGGAAAGTAGGGGAATGAGCTTTTAGAAAGAACTCTCAGAGATGAAAAGATAATTGTGGCTATTTTAGGCAGAACTCGCACTGGGGCAGCTATTAAGAACCCCAAATTCTCCGTGTGTCAGTTTGGAACGCAGACCATATCACCCAGCAGCAATTGCAGCTCTTATCTTCATGGAGTTAGTGCTGCTTTGCTTAAGGAAAAGCCAGGCAGGCTGTCATGTTCTTGTGATCTGGAGATGAAATCATTTTCCGAAAGAATTATAAAAGTACATTGCGGATTATAATTATACACTGAAATGTACTTCCATGTTTTTATTCTGTATACAGATTTAATAAGAAATTAAACATGTGTAGAGGAAAAGCTCAGGAAAGGAAGGAAAGGATCTAGCACAGATTACAGTATATGAAACATATGCTTGAGATAATGCTGATAGGGCTGAAATATGTGGCCTGTGGTGGAGTTCTGTATACAAATGACGTTCTCATTCCTTCTCCACACACACTCTCTTACCTTTGACATAGTAGGGACTAATGCCAGTGAGTAATTAAGAAAGCATGGAAGCAAAATAAGTTTCTGAGATGGTTGATATTATTTAATACATGTTACAGCTGGGATAGCTGAAGGACAAACTGAAGGTTTGAAGGGAGACAATGTCTTTTATTACACCATATCGTCTAAATAGCTTGGAAAATAGGCAAACTTTCAAGTCTTGATTTTTTTTTTTGCCCTTTCTCAGATCACAGTATTTATAGGAGTCTGTCTTGGGAGATTAATGTACAAGGCAATAGATCTGATAGTCATTCATGTCCCAACTTTGGTCAGAAACAAATGTTTCCTTTTCAAATTTTTGTAGTAATGTGGTTCTCAGAGGCTGAAAACAAATGGTGTAGTTGAGTACAGAGAGTGTATTAAAAATGTCTGAAGAAAAAAAATAGTAGTTGGAGAGAAACTGGCATTCCAGGACAATGGGAACTTTAAATATACACTGCTTTTCCTCAGATTTTCTTGTGAAACCTTTAATAAGCTTGAGCTGAGTCACCTGCACTTACTTGGTAGAACATCAGTTTCTGCTCTTAGTATTGTCACATCCTCTCAGAAAGAATTCCAGGCAACTGCAAAGTTTCTTGTGAAACAGGGAGGACAAAGGGGGAAATTCTGTGTGAGTTTCGTAGTGAAAGTGCTCATTTTCAAAATTACATTTATGAATGAAAACATGGATGTGCTTTCAGTGTCATCCATCACACTTAGCTGTAAGGACAGTGCTTTATGTCCCAGATGTGATGCTCCTGTACTCCAGTGAAGAACTCACAGAGGAAATGGACTTAGAAAAGTAACTAGTGAGAGTTCCATGCAAGTGTAATCTGAAGTAATAAATGTGTAGCTACTCCTGTGGTAAAGCAGCAGAGTGAATTCTGTGGAATTGGGTGTGACACAGCTTTATTCCTGTCACTTCCATCCCTCCCTCTTTGTGTTCTCCCATTAGGGGCCAGCAGTGATTGATAAATGAGTGATGATACTCTGATAGCTCATTAGAAGGCAGCAGATCATTTCTTAAGGACAAAAAAGAAGGAATGGGTAGGATATGTAGTGATTATATGCCCCAAGCTCCGTTTCTCCTCCAAAAGAGTCCATTTTACCAATGCTTTGGGCAGGGGGAGCTGTATTTATCTGTGTGCAGGAAGAGAAAGGGAAGAGCAAGAAGAGAGGCTGGAAAAAGGGACAGAGCATCCTCTGAGTCTGCTCCTACCCCTGCTGACAGCCTGTTGGAGGAAACCAAGTAGGTTTTGTGTTGTGGGTTTGGGTTTTGTCACTTTGTTTGCTCTTTCTCTCAGGTGATCTCAGGTTTGGAGATCCAGATCCGCAAGCTGAGGGAGGAGCTGATCCAGGCGAACGCTCTGCGGAACCATCAGCTGCTGGACCTGAGCCTCCAGCGGGACGAGGAAAAGCTGAAGGCAGCTCGAGACAAGGAGGCAGCACTGAACAGTCTGAGGATGGAGATGGAAAAAGTGATATCAGACATGAAAATGAAGCACACAGCAGAGACAGAGGCAGTCTTGAATAAGGTAAGGGATTTGCAAAGAGCAGCTCCGTGGGGTGAAAGGGGAGTGATCACCCCAAAGGTCAGCTGAGCCAAGTTTCCCTAAGGAAAAATGTTTAGGGGTCAGCTGAGTTGAAAAGACAGAAGCAGAGCATGGGATGGCAGAGCCATAGCACGTGTGGGGGGTGTTCTGGGGTTCTGGGATGAAAAGCTTTGCTCTGGACACGCTGGGGCTGGGCAGCACCTCCAGCAGGGATGGAAGGTGCCATGAGGTGCTTAGGAGCCAACAGCACTTCAAAAACACAGGTGATTCACAGGAAAGTCAGCCAGGAGCAGGCTGATCTTCCTCTGTAGAGACTGTGGAAAGGGTGGTTCTGCCTAGCCAAGCTTTTTCTCCCTTAAAAAGAGGGTGAGCTCTTAAGGAGGGAAAAACTCAGGCTCAGGGTGCAAGGAAATTGTGTCTGGTTGCTCACAGTAGCTACTCTAATTTTGCCTGTGGTGTACATCAAGTGAGAAAGGACTCTGGGTAAGATTTGAAAATAGAAATTAATGTTTCAGGTTGATCAAGGCTTCCCTCCTGTTGTGTTCTGTGGGGTCACTGCCCATGTTCCTGCTTGCTGAGCATCCCTTGGACCCCTGTCTCGAATTCAAGTATTCCCCCCAGTTAGGAGCTAAAACATGCAAGTTTTATTTCAAAAGCCAAACTAAAAAAAAAACCCCTACTTAATATTTATGGTAGACTCTGTGTATGTGTAAGCAGATAGTTGCTGAAGTCTCTTTTATACATTGCATTAAGACACTAAATCACACATTTTCTTGCAAGGGGATGTGCAGTGGCACAAATTAACAATCTGCATGGAGTGTTTGAGCAGCCTTTGTGCAAGTGACATTTCATTTACCTGCGTCAGGTTCTTGGTCTGTAATTTTAAAGAGCATTCGGAGGATTATGTTGGAAATCAGCCAGCCTGAAGCCATTAAAATGGCTGTGATCAACAATTCAGAATCTTTTCTGAATGTAGGGAAAGCTCCACTTGGCATAATTATTTAAAGCCAAGGTCACAGAAAGTATTTAAACCTTTGAAATTCATCATTAAAGGATTAATTTTAACTCAGGAAGACATTGTCATTTTTGCTTAAAAATGGAATTTGAATCTCAATTCTTTTCTTTCTTTGATCTTTTTTTACATGTGTAGTATAGCAAAAGAAAAGTTAACTTCTTTACATCCTCAAATTAAAGTTACAAATAATCCTTCATAGGGCAATATCTCTAATAGTCTTGAATTGTCATTTCTGTCAGAAATACTGGTTTTCTTTAATTTGTTGGATTTTTTTCTATTTTTCAAAAAATTTGCTAATTTTAAGCTATATTAACTGCTATTGTATTTTTTTTCTTTAACCTACTTCCCTGTTTTTACCCTAATCTGAAGAGCACATGTTGAGCAAAAGATAGGAGGGGAGAAGTAAAAAATATCTCTGTTGAAAAGTCTTTCACAGACATGTGAAAATACCTGGCATTACTTCCAATCTCCATTCCCCATTCTGTTTCATTTCTGTCTTGCAGTTGTAGAACTGTGGAAACTGGCCACAAAATCCAAAACTCAAAGTAGCTTAGAGGGCAAACTCCATTTAAAGCTCAAAAGTAGCAGTTTCAGCTAATTTAGTTCAAATCTTGATCTTAGTCCGTGGAACCTTGATGATTTTATCCAAGGGGGTGGACAGTAGCATCTTAATTGCAGCAGGAGCCTTGAAACCTTTTTATGAAAAGATTTTCTATCAGATTTTGTTACCTGGAGATTTAGGACAATTTGGGAGAAAAAAATTGTTCTCTAAATTTACTTTTTTTTGGTGCCAATTCTGTGAAGATTGCTTAAAAATCCAATGGCAAACTGAATTTCACAGTTTAGGCGTGGAACATCTGACTGGCCAGATTTTCTGAAGGTCAGTCCATTCTCAAGTGAGGGATCTCATTCCTCTGTGATCTGCTCTGGGAATAATGATGATTTCTGTGGGGATTGCTTTGTGGCATTGTGGATTGTTAATGTGAACATGAGGAAATACAAAAGAAATGATTCATACTTCAGTGACAAGAAAAACAGAACTGCAAATGGGTAAAGAAGATCCAGGATTCCTCTGGCATTGCCCTCCCCATCGTCCTTGGGGATGAGAAGAGTGAGGGGCAGAGACAGGGAAAGGAAGAGTTCATTACAGGCACACTGAACATTCAAATATTTGTTGGTGTTTGTAGAGAGCTTTTTGATATTTAGGGACACATAATTTATTGAGGTCTTTAATTTTTTGTTGCTTAAAAATCTCAGCTTTAAGGCTGGGACATTGTTTATTGTGATGTCAGTTCCTGAGCACTCCCTTAACCTTTGAGGGTTTGTCAGGGTTGGTGTCTGCTGGAGGTTCCCAGGACATTGTCAGGACTGTGCACATTTTTTCCTGCTTTGCTCCTGTAAGGTCCTGATGTGTTTTCAGCACTTTCTGTGCAGACCTGGTGGAGCTGACAGAAGTCTTAGGATCATTTTTCTGCAAAGCATTTTGCCCTATTACCTGTGAGGGTGGGGAGGCACAGGGTGCCCCTGGATCCCTGGAAGTGCCCAAGGCCAGGCTGGACAGGGCTGGGAGCAGCCTGGGACAGGGGAAGGTGACCCTGCCATGGCAGGGAGTGGAGTGAGATGGGATTTAAGGTCCCTTCCAACCCAACCCATTCCATGCTTGTTGGATATCTGGGAGCACAGAGCCCTGGAGCTGGGCTCTGCTGATGCCAGGTTTGGGCAGGGCCAGGTGAGTTCCAGGTTGCATCAGCAGCACTTGGGGCACTCCTGAGCCAGGTGCAGTGCAGTGCACAGAGCTGGGAGCAGCTCCAGCTTTGCCAGGAGTGACTGAAAGCAGGAGACAAAGTCTGAGTGTGTGCAGATGTGGGGCTTGGCCGCCGCTGTTTGTAACGTTCTGTGGGATTTTCTTGGCAGAGGAAATGAGCGCTCAGCAAGCACAGCCCGAGCAGAGCACTGGACAGGCTAACAATGCTCAGAGGAAGCAACCTTGGAACACTGAAAATATCTCATAAAAAAGCTCCCTTTGAGCAGCACACATGAGTAAACTGGAGTGGGAGAAGATGATGATGGGGTTTTTTTTTTCTCTCTAAATAATTTTCAACATTTAGCTTTTTATTGACTTCTTTTCTATATTTAAATAGATATTTTGACTCATTCTGTTAAAGGTTTATTCAGGTTCCAGGAACATCTAATTCTCTTTCTGTGCTGCTTTTCTTGTGGAGAAGTAATTTACATTTTTGTGTATTGACTGTACTGAGCACACATGATATTTGATTACAGGACAAAGCCATAGTCAAAAAACCCCCAAAACAAATTAAACACTTTATTTTTGGGGTTGCAATTGCTCTGGTGGAAGGAAGCTGTGAAGTGGTTCCCTCTGGAGAGATGGGACACCAAGGTGGCATCAAACCTGGCCAGAGCCATGCAGACCCTGCTTGTAGACTTTAATGATGTCAATGTCAGTTGTACTCTGAGATTTCTGTGATTTTAAATCAAATCTGTTTACAGTTTTTACCTGGACCTTTTTGAAGTCCACATAAAACTCAGATACTTGGAGACCTGAAAGTTAAGTTGACTCTGTAAGTGACCACTTCCTTAATTAGGAATAATTATTCTATATAACATTTTTGTTGCAATATAATGTTTTTGTAATGGGTCCCTTTTCAAAACTCTTCAGACAGTGTCCTATAGTTGGATACTTCTTTTCTGAGCAACTTTTGCATATAATTTGCAAATATGGTACTGCTGATGTGCCCGAGGGGACATTTCAGTCCCTCCTTCAGCATCAGGCTCTGTGATGCTGGATTAATTCCTCACCCAGCACAGCCCTGGAACAGCCCAGCTGGATGTAACTCCCTGGGCATATTTTCATGCTGCATACGCAGGAATATCTGTGATTCACAGTATCTGTTCTGGCACTGGTGCAGATGAAGTCACACTCTTCAGCACTGGCAAAGACACACAAGATGAAGGGAAGGAATATGACATCTTCTGAGATGAAAGATACTCCAAGAGATACTTGATTAAAAGTATTGAGTTTCCCCTAAGCAGTTATTTCTGCTTCTAAAGTACAAGCATCTCATGCCTTCCACGAGTTCCCATGTCTGGGTCCTGTCTCTCCAGCTCTGCTTCTTCTCTGCCAACTCCACATTTCATTAACACCAAAAATGGTTCCATCTTTGTCCCTAAGACCTTCTGAGAACTGGATGCGATGGAACCTTTGATCTGACACCTTTCACTTCATTAACTTGGAGGCTGAAGCCACACTTGCAGATAACTTTGTTTGTGGGAGCACTCAGAGGAGCTGTTTTCACACTCACTCCAGTGATTCCCTGGGTATTTACATCAGGGCAAATAGGTCAGCCATAAAACGTGGACGTGTATTCCTCCCAAGTGTAATGATCTCATTAAATTGTGTCTAATTGTAATGCAGACCTGTTTGTTTCCTTGCTGAATGCAGGCAGGATCCCTACCAGTTGTAAATGTGCCATTTTTTTAAACTTGTTTTGAGTCTATTACATCAATTATTTAACTTAGGCCCCAGCTATGAATAATTTAAAGAGCCTCCAATTCTTACCAAGAAGAGTTGGATGTTACCCAAGTCTTAATTTTTTTCATTAGAATCCAAGAGCTGTTGTCTCTGATATTATCTCTCTGTTCCAGAGCAGCAGTATTTTTATTGTTTTTGTTTTGTAGAGCCTGTGTACATTAAATTACATTTGGTTCTTGAATGTTTCTGACACAGTGATAGTGATTCACCAGCTAATATTAATAAAAATGAGTGTAGTGCACTTGGCTTTGTTGGAGGAAACCTAGCAAAACCAGAAATGTGGTGCCAAAAGATCGAGTAAAAGCAAAACATGATGCCAAAAGATCAAGAAGAAATGTATTTCACAAAGAGGAAATATTTTAAATGTATATTAGCAGAAAAAATACGGATTATTTAATCTGTCTTGATAGTACCTTT